CCTGTTTCTCTATCAGCGCGAGGCGATCCAGCAACTCAGCTTTGTCACGCTGCAAGACCTCTAGTCGCTTCTTTTCCTCGCTCTTTCTCACTTCCTCGGAGGCTCCTGCCATGACCCAGTCCTCGTCCTTAGGAACAGCGGCGGCCTCCCCAGTCGGAGCGGCAGACGTTAGTCCAGGCACAGCTCCGTCTGGGGATCCTTTAGTCTTCGATGCTCCCTTCGCCGACGCCGCCGCTGCGGTATCCACCACGTATACAGGATGGGCCCTCGCAGGGCCGCTGGATAGAGAGAAGTCCGGCTTCTCGCAGCGGCGCGAGTAGAGGTTGAGGCGCACGATGCGGTCGTTCTTAGTGATGAAGTGGATGGTTGCCGGCGGCGTCAGGTAATCCCTAAAGATGTCCTGACGCGGATACCAGCTGCAGAAGATCTCGTCCATCTCCTCTGGCGTGAACGGCACCTCCTTATCCTCACGCCGCTGGTCGTTGTCGTCCTCGCTGGCCTCATCCTCCTCGCTGGCCTCATCCTCCTTCTTCACTTCCTTGCTGCTTCTTGCCTTCTTTCTCTCTTTCTTCTCTTCTTTGCTGCTCCTCGCCTTCTTCTTCTTTTCTTTCTTTTCTTCCTTCTCTTCCTTCTCACCGCGGTCTTCTGGTGGACTCCGCTTCTCTTCCTTCACACCGCGGCCTGCTGGTGTACTCCGCGACCTTGAACGCGAGGAGGCCTCCGCCTCGGGCGGAGGAGGGGCACGTGGCTCACGGAGAACAGCTCCCCGATCACGCTGGCGGTCGTCACGACGATCTCGATGATGATCTTCACGCTGCTTGGTGTCACGACTCCCGCCTTCACCGCGCCGATCGTCACGGGGCTTGGTATCACGATTGCCGCCCATCACGATCTTGAACATAGTTGCCGTGATCTCGTCGAGATCCACCTCAGCCGCCGTACAAGGCTTCGACGTGGTCAGCTGCAGACGCATGAGCCGACCCTGGACGAAGTCGAGGCTCTCGAAGCGGCCTTGCTTGAAGAAGATAGGCTTCTTGTTCGTCACGCGCTCCACGATGTGATGGACCGTGGCAAGGTCAGGAAACTCCAACTCCACGCTGTGCCCCTTTGGGTGGGTGTTGGCCAGAATGCGATGGCAACGCACGCATGCATCCTCGTCCTCCTGATCCTCCCCGCGCCTGGCACGGGCGCGCGCACGTTCATCACTGCTCTGTGCGGGCCCTGGGCCATCGTCGGCGTCCCGGCGTAGGCTCGGCGCAGGCATGCTCTTGGGCCTGGGATGCATGATGATCCGCCCTGGAGCATCAGCTCGACCCTCCACCGGATGCCTCTGGGCAGGCACCGACTGTGGAGCACGGCGCCATGGAGCGCGGCCACGACGCTCCTCGGCACTACCTGCCATGCCAACCCAGTGGATGATCGGTCCATGCACCTGCCTTGGCGCCGGCGGCTTCACAGAGCTCCGCTGGTTGGGCGACGCTGGCTGGCCACTCTTAGGCCCGATCTTGTTGTACGGCTCGCGCTCGCCACTCTTTACCTTGGGGCACTCCGGATCGCCACGCCAGTGGCCGGGCTGATCGCAGTCAGCACACCGGCTGTTAGCCTTGCGCTGGTCCGTCGGCTTCCGACCAGCCTGGAAGGAGCCGCTGACGTTGATCTTCTTGGGGTCACGCTGCCGAGGGGCAACGAACCCGCGCTTCTGACGCTGTACTGCCGTCTTCTGCTTGGCCCTCCAGCCGGCCAAGAACGCTTCCTGAAGATCCTCCGGTGCCTCGTACTCCTCGTCATCTGGCCCGTCGTTGTCCGACGCCAGCTCCTCTTCTACCTCGGCGCCTTCCTCGAAGATGATCCCCTCGCCAGCTCCGGGGTCTCCATCGTCCTGTTCATCTGCTTCATCTTCGTCGTGCTGCGCCTCCTCCAGGTCGCCGTGGTGTTCATCGTAGTCTTCACCGTTCTCTACCTCGTGCACATGCTGGCCAGAGCGTCCTCGCAGCACGTATGGCCTGCGAGCCATGGGAGGGTGCGGATAGCGACCGCCCGAACTCCCGGAGGAGCGCCCGTGCTCACGCTGCGCCGCAAACGGCGAGCGGCGAGGGAGCACCGAGCGCTTCTCGGTGTCGTGCACCTTCGAGTAGGCTGCCTTCAGCACGACCTCCATCCGCTTCGAGTCGTAGATGCCGCCACAGTTGAAGAGCACCTGCGCTCGCTCCTTCTGCGACAGTCCAGCGCCACGAAGCATCTTGCTTGCCAGCGCGCGATCGCTGATCGCTGAAGTAGGATCCTCGAGCTGCAACTCCATGCGCTTCTTGCGCAAGTACGTGGTCCAATCCATGATGGGCTGCCCAGCTCGACGGTGTGCTCGCTCCCACTCCTGATGCACCTGATCGAGGCGCTCGTGATCCATCTTCTCGAAGGCGTCGTCGTAGATAGCAAAGATGGTCTCAAGCGTATCCTCGCGTCGGAGGTCCGACGCATCAAGCACCTCGATGAGCTCTTTGGCTCGACCTGTCACTTGACTGTAGATGATCAGGCCCAGCTCCACATCTGAGAGCTGGTTGAGGTTGCGGATGACTTCAACCTCCTTGCGCCACTCTCGGTACTTCTTAGTACTCGTACCGACTGCACCATCGAACTCTGGGAGCTTCACCTGCGACAGCAGTAGACGTGTACGTCTGGGACCGCCGTCGCCACCACGATCCCGATGTAAGGCCAAGAGCTCCCGCTGGGTCTCGGCCATCACGCGCAGGACTGCATGCAGGTCCGGGGGACCTGTGCCAGCAGAGGACGCAGCCTCCGCATCTGAGCCGTCTTGGCTAGCTGCCATGGCGGCCCACGCAGGTGGTCACGACCACCAAAGCAGAGCACGCAGTGCGTCCGCTGGAGCTTACAAGCTCCGCTACCAATGTCAGTGCAGTTCTTTTAGCTCGGACTGCGCGGCAGTCAAAACTGCGGGTGCGTCCCAGGGCCCTAGGACTAGGGCCAAAACAGCGGCGGGCAGCGTGCATGCCACAAAACAAGACAAGCGTGTACATGATGCACACACGGTGACACGGGCGGCAGAGGGGCAGGGGAGTGCACTCTTCACACGTAGAAGGAGGCTGCTTGTTAGAAGGCGCTGGCCTTACACCTAAAGATAAGGCCCGCGCCGTCTAAGAAGCAGGGATGCTTCTAAGAAGCCTCCCCCCCCTCCCCCACCCCCCCCTTGTGCGCGCCGCCGAGATTGTTTTTCCATCCCGAGCATTGCTTTGACGGCCCCAGGGCACGGCCCGCTGAGGGCCCTCCGAGGCCGAAACCGGGCCGTGTCGGCATCGCCCGCGCATGCTTTCAGCACGTGGGGGCGTCTGCCCCCCCCAGAGGGCCGACGTGCGCGCTCTCGGAAGTCTTCCCGTGTGTGCTCGGGGCCGGGCGCTTCTTCCGCCGCGCGCCCGCGCTCGTGCCATGTGGCCCTGCATCTTCGCTGTCGCTGCTGGCCTCTGGCTGTGGCGCGGCTGCGGCAGCGAGCCCTGCGGGCCCTGGCGCTGGAGCGCGGAGCACGGCGCATGGGTCTGGCGCTGGGGCTCATCTTGGTGGATCTACCTCGAGGAGCTCCCGTGGATGCACTACGCGGACGAGGCGGACCGTTGGCCTCTGGGGGACTTGGTGGGGCCCCAACCGCAACCCAATGGAGGGCGCGCCCCGAGAGAATTTCACGGCGGCCGCTGCTTCGGTTTCGGCGTGCGCCAAAAAAAAAATTGGCGTCTTGGGGAGGGCCCTGGGGGCCCTGCACCTATCTCGCCAGGGTGCGTCTGTTCTGGGGTCCCCTTGGTCCCGCTGAAGGAGTGCGGCGGCGCGGCGGGGTCGCGGTGGTCCTTCGCCATGGGCTTGCCGACGGTCCGCGTCGGAGGCGCCGTCCGCGTGGGCCCCAGGGCCGCGGGGCCGCGCTGTTGGAGTCACTGGGCGGGCCCGAACCTTTGCGGGGAGGTGGCCCGCTACCGGCGGCAGGGCGCGGCGCGAGCTTCCATGTGGCGCGCCGCCGCGCGGCTTGCGGCGGCGCGCCCGCCGCGGCCGGCGGAGCGGCTTGTTCTGGAATTTTTGGGGGCGCCCGCGGGGAAACGTGAGATTCGAGTGCGCCGGGGCTCGGGCTTGCCGGTGTTTTTTCGCGAGCGCGCCCCGGGCTCTGGCGGTTCAGTTTTCGCGGGGCGTTTGCAGCGGGGGCTCGCGTCAGATTTCAGACGGGGCCGTCGTCGTGTTTCTGGGGGCCCCGTCGGGCCAGCCCGAGTCCCCCCGTCCCTTCTCTATTGGTGCTATGCATCTCGCATTCAGACGCACCGGGGGCCCGTGGCCGCGGCCTCGCCCGCCTGGTCCTTGGTGGGCCCGGGCGGCGTCCGCAGCGGTGATCGCGTCGCGTCGCGTCGAGCCCCCCGAACCCGAGTCTTGCGTCTTCCCGACCGTATGAAATGTTCGTGGTGTCTGTTCCGTCCGGGCGTGCGCCTCCGAAGGGGGAGGCCCGCGGCGCCAGCTGGGGGGGTTCTCCGGTTGGCTTAGGCGGCCCGTCCTCCTCCTCCCTCCTCCTCCTCCTCCTCCTCCTCCTCCTCCTCCTCCTCCTCCTCCTCCTCCTCTTCCTCCTCCTCCCTCCTCCTCCTCCTCCCTCCTCCTCCTCCTCCTCCTCCTCCTCCTCCTCCTCCTCCTCCTCCTCCTCCCGACCTTTCGGCGGCATGTTTCGTGTGAGGGCCCCGGGCCTGACATCGGCATCACCCCGACGTGCTAATACTATGCGTGCGTCGCCCCCCCAGGGGCAGCGCGCGCGCCGAAAAGACTTGTAGTGTATGCTCCGTGGCGGGCGCTTTCGTCCACGCCGATATAACATCTGTTCGGGTCGGGCGCGCGCCTCCAAGGAGAACGCATCGCATTCGTGTGTGTCTCTGTGCGCCCCATGAAGCTGGGCAAGCTCGCCCGCCGGGACTGCCCCCCCCCGAGCCAGCGCCCGCCCCCGCCCCTCCGGCCCCCCTCGCCTCCGCGAGGCCCCGGGGGCGGCCGCGGGGAGGGGGCTGGCGCCGGGCGGCCCGCCTCGCGGCGCCGCGGCGACGGCCTTCGGGCTGCGCGCCTTGGACGAGCTGAAGGAGCTCGGCGCAGACATCACCCAGGCCGTTTCCGAGGCGGGCGCCGCGCTGGGGGAAGTCGTCGGGGGCAAGGTCAGGGGGGGCGCTGAAGTCCTGGCGTTGCGATTTTTTCACGCCGGGCGTTTTTCTCTTGCCCCGTTGCGGCGCCCCGGGGCCTTCGCAGAGCGATCCGGTTTGAAATTGGCGCGGGAAGACAGGGTCCAGGGCTCTGGTTGCCATTTTTTTGCGTTGGTGTTCGGGTCAGGGTCGGCCTAACAGACCTCTGGCAAACCAGCCCTTTCCGTGTACGGCTGGGGGGAAATTTGAGATGCGAGGGGGACGTCGCGGAGGGGGACGGTTTGCTGAGGGGTCGGTGAGGCCGCGCCCGATACGGGGGGTGGGCTCAGGGCGTCGGCGCCCCAATGGCCCATCGATCGCCTAAATTCAGGGGGGGGGGAAACGCACGGACACATTTCATCCTCGACCCCCCAAAAAACAGGGAAAAATGGGAAACCGGGGGGAGACGAACACCCAGAAAATTTTCCTTTCGAACACATGGGGCATCCGGGGATTTGTGCCTGTTTGCTTTTGTGTCCCTGGCCCCCTCTATCTAGTGGGGCCACGTTTGGGGGGGTGACAGGCGGGTCGCAGTGCGATGTGTTCGGGCGTGCTCGTCGGTCTCCGGCGGTTCTCCGGCCTCGGGCCTCGGGGAGGGGTGCTCTCGGCAGCCGCGCCCCGCTGAGGTGCGTGCCCGGCGGGTGCCCGGATCGCCCCGGAGCAGCCGCCGGACAGCCGAGCTGTGGTCCTGTTCTCGGGGGCGGCAAAGAGGGGGGTGATGACTAGGGGGCGGGGGGTCGGATATCATGGCGGGGGCCATGATTTTTCCTCAGATTTCATGGCGCCTCGTCTTATTTCATTACGTCCCTGGCCCTCCCCCGGCCGCGCACGTGCCGCCGGCCATGATTTGCACTCCCCCCTCTTGGACGCCCCTCTCTTTGCCGCTCCCGATGTTCGAGAGCCTTGGGATGGGGGTCGATGCAGACGGGGGTCGGCCAGAGCGCCGGAGTGTCGCAGGATCTTGCAGGGCCAGAGTGGCCCGAGAGTTTGGGCGCAGGATCTCGTATGAGCCTTCGCAGTGGCCCGGGTCTGGGTGCAGGACCTTGCAGGATCTTGCAGGGTGTCCGATTTTCCGATGAAGAAATATGAATACACCAAAACTACACCCAAAAAGGCCAACACATATGTAACAAATAGTCCCCAGACTATTTTTGGAGCATTTTTTTTTTTTTTTTTTTGTTTTTTTTAAATTTTCGTCGAAAATCCCCCTGTATGGGGGACAGGCCCGACTCAACGATAGGGGCCCGGCAGCCCACCCCGCCCAGCAGCGTGCGGCTCTCGCTATCGAGAGCCTGTGGTTGTGCCTCGGGGCAGCGTCAACGGGGGGGGGCGCCATCGTCTTCCGGTGGCCCAAAGGGGCCATCGGAGGACGATGGCCCCCCTTTACTTTTACTCCCCCCTGCCCTCGATCCCCTGTGCCACCTCTTGCCCCCCCGACTCCCTCGTCTCCCTTTCCTCCCCGTTTCTTTGGCCCCTCTTGCTCCTTGACCCCCCCCCCACCTCCGGCGGATCTAAAACCCAGCTGTGCCACCTCTTGCCCCCTGACTCCCTCATCTCCCTGTACTCCCTGTTTCTGTTACCCCTCTTGCTCCTTTCCTCCCCCCCACCTTCGGCGGATCTGATGCCCTGCTGTTCGGGAGGGCTCGATGGCCCATCGATGGCCGATTGGATGCCAGAGAGCCCACCCCGCCCAGGAACGCGCGGCTTTCGCCCGCGGGAGCCTGTCGCCGATTTTTCGGCGCTGCGTCGCCGATTTCAAGTCGATGTTTCCCCCGTGAGCCCGTCCCCCCTATCGTTAAGTCGGGCCTGTCCCCCTACAGGAGGAATGTTCAAAAGTAATACAAGAAAGTCTGGGGACGATTGCTGTACTATTTTTGAACATTGTTGGCGTATTTTTGACAATCTTTTTTTTTGTTCGTCCGAAATCCGCCTGCAGGGGGACAGGCCCGACCTAACCTTATCGTTGCCCCTCTAGTCCTCGAGGACCTCCTGAAGTTCATGCTTATGCGTTTTTTCGTCCCTCCAACGACGACGGTGAAGCCAATGAGTGCTCAGTTTGCGCTTGGGGAAACGACTTTGAGATGGCTTTGACGGTGGTGACGACCACGATGGCGATCGTGTTGATGATGTGCATCATGATTCATCCTGCCATGATGGGGAAAAGTATGACGACGAGGACAGGAGTTCGGCATACGCTCTCACTTCTGAAGAATACCCGTCGTTCGCTAAAAGCAACTGACCACCCCTGATAATAACACCTGGGGGGTGATAAAGTTTGTGGTCCAGGGGGGATAATAAACGATTTGTCTCGGCAAGGCGATGACGACGACAAGGAGGATGTTTTCCTCTTGCTCTGAGATTCTTGGCCCGTTCTCTTCAGATCCTTGGCGCGTGCTCTTGAGATCGTAAAGCTTACCTGCACTCTTTAGATCCTTGGCGCTCCTCGCCAGGAAGCCGTTCTTGCGAACAGTTTCGAAGAACTCGCCCATGCAGCGTCGGCACCCCTTGGAGACGTCCTTGAGGGGCAAGCACTTGGTGCACGCTTGGGCTGCCGCGAGAGCCTCCTCGAAGGTCTCTTGCTTGGGTTTGTGCGCGGTCGGGTCCTTCGGCGGCTGGGCCTTGCCTTTGCTCTTGGTCTTGGCCCTGGCAGAACGGTTGTCGCTCGCGTCCTGAAGCTTCTGGATCCACTCGTTGCCTCGAGCGCACGCCATGTTGATGCTGATGGGCGGTTCGCGGCCCTCGCCTCGGATCTCGCGCAAGGCGCCCTCGACCCACCTCGTCACCCAGAGTCCACAGGACCAGCTATCCACTTGCAACATAAGAAGATAGCAACTTCGATTCGTCATTTTTCCCCGCGATAATAAGATTAGGTTTTGCCGCCTTTCTCCCCCGACCAACTCTGTCTTGGCCGGATATAATCGACTCTCAATGGTGACGGGGGGAATTTCTCATTCGGGGCTTGCGGTTGAGTATCTTGGGGTCCCGAGGTCCCAATCAATTTGAAGCGCTTTCCTACTTCAGTGATCGATATGATTTTGATATCTTGTGTGATTCTCTGGGATGGCCTGAACCCAACCTACTTTTCCTTTCTGCCTACTTCTTGTTTTTTTCAGGGAACAATTCTTCGGACCGACGTGTAATATGAATAATGCTTACTGTTCAACCCATTTGTTTGCTGCGTGTTGTGTTTTCTAATTGAAGTGCCCTTTCTTCCCTCGCAGTTTGTCCACGGAAAGAGGTTCTCGGGCATTCAACGAAAATTGGGCCCCAGATGTCCAGGTTCCAAGAAGTTCGAGGCGGCGGTTGTTCATCGTTTTCGGGCTCCAGGAGCCCTTCGCGGGCCCTAGGGCCGCCAAGGAGAGACCCAGGAGGAAAACCTGGCCTTGCGGAGTGGGCCGGGACTTCCAGAGTTCTTCTTCTTCTTCTTCTTTTTCTTTTTCTTCTTTTTCTTCTTTCTTCCAGGACAGGCGTTCGAGGTTCGAGGCTTTCGGACGTCCTCGTCGGTCTTCATTTCTGTTCCAGCCTCGTGATGCCGGCAGCAGCCGCGCCTCGCCGAAGGCGTTCCACGGGTGCCCTATCATCCTGATCGGCCGCTGGAGGCCCGAGTTTATGACCCGTCAGCCCGCCGACGAGCATCACGCGGGTCGGGCGACGGGCGGGAAGAACAGGACCAACGAAGGCGTATGGCATCTGCTGCATGCGCCTTGTTTCGGCCCCGCCCGCCGGGCGTTGGTGCATCCCGTGCCAGGCGGCGCCAGAGAGGTCAGCCGCGTGATCTGGTTCGCCCCCCCCCCCAAATTACTGTACGGACCCCCCGTTTCGTCCGGCCTGGCAGAGGGGGGGTCGCTCGCGGCGCTGCTGCTGTCTGCGGCCAGAGATGCATCTGGTGTGTGCTATCGGCGGATGCAGTGGAATTGCCCGAGCCTCCTCGCGTCGCGAGGTAAACATCGCGACGGAGGGCTTCTGTTGCCAGTGTTCGTCCTCTGCGGAGGCCCTTGCCTGGCCCCCGGGGCCGTGAGAAACGGCCCTGGATGAGCATACCTGGTCCTGGGGGGGAAGGGTGCAGCTTTCGGGGGGTCACGCCGTGAGTAGATACGCCGTGTTGGAGGTCTAGGTTCGGCCACGCGCAGAGGGGGTAAGGGGCGGGGGGGGCCAGCTTCTTAGAAACACTCTTGCTTGCTAGAAGGCGCGAGCCTCGTCCGTAGATGTAAGGCCCGTGCTGTCGAAAAGAAATCACCTCCTTCTCAGAAGCGTCCCCCCCTCCCCCTATCCCCCCCCTCCTGCGCGCCGCCAGCAGGTTCGCGGCCCTGCGCTCCACCCGCAGCGACGCAGCACGTTTTGCGCGTGCCGACGCCCACGTTCGGTGCATGTGCGTAGTTCTCCTCGCCCGAGGCGTGGGCCTCTCTGGCGTCGGGTCGTTCGAGTCTGCACGATCGGCGGCCCTGCAACCTCCCCGACCGCCGCAGACGGGCGAGCGGCAGCGCAGGTAACGGCGACGCAACTTTCGGCAGTGTGGCGGCGCGCGGCTCTGCGCTTTCCCACGAAGCGCTGTGTGTCGGGCTCGCTCGTTCCCCTCGCACCGGCGGTGGTACGGGTCGGGAAAACGACCACAGCCACTGCTTTTCTTTTGTTGCCGCCTTCCAGCCAGCAGAAACAAATCAGTGGGTGTGGTCATTTTCGTTAAGCTTGGCACCAGGGAAATGACCACAACCACTGCTTCTTTTTCGGCCGGCTGGAAGGCGGCGTAAACAAGAAGCAGTGGCTGTGGTCATTTTCCCGTCCCGCAGGTGGGCGCCGGCACGCAGAGGTTGCTGATAACGACTGCTGAACAGTTCACGTGTAGTTTCTCTGGAGGGTTCGTGTCGGTCCTGGCTGATGGAGGAGCTGGGAGCGGACGGACAGCACGCTTCTGCAGCTGGCGCCGAGGCGCGGGGTGCGGCCACACGCCGAAGGCCAAACAAACGACAGGCCTATCGGCATGAGGCCGGCGAGGCGCGGCGCGAGCAGGAAAACGGCTGCGTTGGAATACCGTTCTCGGCGGCGAGCGAGGGAGGGAAGTCAGGAGGAGGAGGAGGAGGAGGAGGAGGAGGAGGAGGAGGAGGAGGAGGAGGAGGAGGAGGAAGTGAGAAGGGGAGGGCCTTCTCAAAAGGCTCGGAAGCCCCCCAGCATTCCGAGAGAACCTCTCTCGAAGCCTTGCCCGACGGCGCCCAGACCTCCTCGGCAGGCGCGAGGGCTCCCGAGAAGTCCCGCTGCCTTCTGAGATGGCCTTCTCTCGGGGGAGAAAAAGATACGGATACGTGTTGTCCCCCTTCGTTTTCGGCCTTTCCTGGTCCTCCTGGGGAATCCTCGTTGTCACCGCTGGATTCGCCTCGAAATTCTGGTCAGAACGCACCCCAAGAGAGGTCCGGGGACAACACGTATCCGTATCTTCCCGCCCCCCAACTTCTGAGATGGCCTTCTCCTGCTCGCCGTCGAGGTTTCTTTCTCACCGAGCGCGTGGGACAGATTCCCGCCGGCGCTCAGGAGAGTGCGCAGTGGCAGCGCACATCACGCTCGGGCCGGCAGACGGCCGCCAGAGGCCTGGGCTCCCCTCGGGGGGTCTCCTGCACACTTGGGAGCCAAGCCAAACTCGGCGCCACGGCTACCTATCTATACCCAGATTGCCAGTCACAGAGATGCCAGGCAAGCCCGGGACGCCACACGAGCCGACCTGCAATAGGCAGATTCGTCCAGATATTCTTGGCCTGGGAGACAGCATCACGACCCCAGGAGTTGCCCATGACAGTTTTTGCCCAGGTCTTTCTGTGAATGGGGGGACGGATGCGGAGGAGGAGGAGGCGGAGGAGGAGGAGGCTGAGGAGGAAGAAGATGACGAAGAGGATGACGAAGAGGGCGAGGGGGGAGAGTGGGCAGCGTGGTTGCCAAGAACGGTTGTCACGTACAGCGGCTGCTTGAACCCTGCTGGCGCATGCCAGACGCAAAAGGACACCAGCTACAGGAGGAAGAGGAGGAGGGAGGGATCGGGGACAACCACCCAAGCCGAGCCCGCGAGGGGCTGCGCTTTCCTGAGGGAGATTCTCACGAAGAATTTGCAACGGAGCGAAAATCAGCGAATTCCCTCCCTGTTGTTGGAACCCTGCTTGCCCCATCTCTTCCCCTCCCCGTCCCGCTGCCATCGCGATGACCATGGGCAGAGCATCGAGCTTTTGGATGTGGCAATGGGCCAAAGCAGCGCTACACATCCAGGACACGTGACCTAAGCTGGGCCATGGGCCCGTCGGCGCCCCTGGAGTCGCCGGCGCAGGCGTTAGCATCCCCAAAGAGAACCCCCAAAGGAATTGACAATAGTACGCCGAGAAAGGACCCCAATTAGCACCCACAGTCGTGCGCCAAAATGGGAGCCCAAACTAAACGGCCCTCGTCGCGCAAAGCGCCGCAAAAAGCTCCACACAAAGGGCCGCATAATAATGGTTTTCCCTGTGCGGGCACGCACTCGGCGAAGTTCGAGGGACCTTTCTGTGTTGCTTGTTGGTGAGCTTTTTGCGCTCGGTTTTTGTGGTGCAGTTGCGTGGCGCACTATGGTGGCGCAGTTTTGTGGCAGCTTTTGTGGCCGACCCTTTGCCGCGCATTTTTGCGGCAATGTGTTTCCCTTGCGTGGCAACTAGCCCGTTCCCCGAGCATCGATTTTCTCAGGAGCGGGCAATCTGAGACGGGCCCCTCTCCCAACCGCGCCTCCAGCCCGGCCGTGCCGTGCGATGATTCTCACTTGCATGCGGGAGTATGGTTCAGCCCATTGGTTGAGGCCGCTGCGCGCAATGCTGTGTGCACTGCTGCGCCTGTGTCAGCTGTAGTGTGTACCGTTGCGGCGTGTTGGGCAAAGGTGCCGCACGCTGCTTTTGTACTGCAGTTTCAGTGTCGGGCCACGTCGCGCGCTGCCCTAGCACACCATGTTGTGGGCCAGGCCGCGAAGCGCCTTGCATCCCAGCTCTCGCAGCAACAGGCTCTTGCGCGCGGCACCCCGCCGCGGCGCGCGCCCGGTGACGACTTCCGCGTGTTAGTTTTGGGCGTCAAGATCTTCGGCACCGCCTGTTCTCTGAGCCCTCCGGCCGCCTGAGGCCCCGCCCGCCCGCGCCCTGTCTCCCCAATTAGGGCTACTCGCGCCCCGTTTAGCTCTTGACCGGAAAGGGCCCGCTCCCGACCCGCAGACCCCAAAAAGTTAGTTTCGGGCGCTCTTTTGATGGCTCGTCTGCTCAGTGTCGCAGAGGCTTCGAACTGTTGTAGTCTAGGCTCCTCGAGCCGGGCCGCAGGAACAGAAGCAGCACAGGGCGATCCGATGTGGTGTCGAGCCGGATCTCTGGTGGATGGCGCGGCCCCCGGACCGGCGCCTTCTTCTCACTTCCCTTCCCGCCCCTGTGAAGCGCGGCTCCCAAGCTCGAAGCGCCCCCCCCCCGCCCCCCGTTTTGGCCGCTCGGGCGCCGAAGTCTGTGCAGATCCACGGATCCCTGGCCAGGTCCACTGCCTCCGCCCTCCTCCCTCCTCCCTCCTCCCTCCTCCCCCCTCCCCTCTCCGCCCTCCTCCCTCCTCCCTCCTCCCTCCTCCCCCCTCCCCTCTCCGCCCTCCTCCCTTCTCCCTCCTCCCTCCTCCTTCCTCCCCCCTCCGACTCCCCCTCCTCCTCCTCCTCCTCCTCCTCCTCCTCCTCCTCCTCCTTCTCCTCGTTCTCCCTTCTCCATCCTCCCCCCCTCTCCTTTATCTGTCTTCCTCGCTCCTCCCTCCTCCTCTTTCTTCTCCCTCCTCCCTCGTCGCCCCTTCTCCTCCATCTGTCTACCTCCCTCCTCTCTCCTCCCTCAGTCCCTTTGACTTTTTGCAGTCGTCGGCTGCAGAAGTCCCGACCGCTCCCCCGGGCCGCGATGTTGTCCCGGATCAGTTTCTGACCTCCGAGGGCCAGAACCGCGGGAGTGCCCGCCGGTATAGAAATCAGATCGCGGGAGGCCTGGGTCTTCCTCCTTCCTGTTCTTCCCGTCTCCTCCTCCTCTTCCCCTCCTCCCTCTGGTTAGGGTTCTTGGCCTCCTAGATGGGGTCGTGGTGGATGGGGTCGGAGGATCGCGCCGCATCGCCGATGCATCGCCGATGCGGCTCTATTTGCAGCCCGACTTGCTTCACGTCGACGTCGCCGATGCATCGCCGACGTCGACGATACATCGCGACTGCATCGCCGATACATCGCCGTTGTATCGGCGATGCGGCGCGATCCTCCGGCCCCATCTACTCCGACCCCATCTAGGAGGCCTCTAAGGATCCAGCTCCTGGGAGGTTGAGTTCAGAATCTGCGCTGGTATATCCGCGGCCGCCAACCGACCTACTCCGGCACCGTCCCGCTGGATCCAGCTTCGTCTCGTCTGCTCCGGCTCAATCCTCAGCGAGCGAAAAACGGTATAAAATAAACTTTTTCGCTGTCGGGGGCGCCTGTCCCTGGGCGGCTGGAAAGTTTATACCCCTACGGTGCCACCGTAAGGGTATAAACTTTCCAGCCGCCCTGGGACAGGCGCCCCCGACAGCGAAAAAGTTTATTTTGTACCGTTCTTCGCCCGTTAAAATCCTGAGCTTGACTTGGGCTTCATCTGGCCCAGTAGGGTTCGTGGGGCTCCAGGGCCCTCTCTCGTTCGTGCCACGACCTCCCCGCGGCTGTTTCCTGGCCCTCCTCCCCCTCCTCTGCGCGGTGAGCCCCAGCCTTCGCCGCACGGGCCGCACCAGAGAGACGCTGCCAGGGGAACTCTCGGCGCCTCCCTCCTGCTCCTCCTGCGCCGCCCCTGGGGAGGGAGACGCCGGAGGGGGGGAGGAGGCGAGGGAGGGGGAGAAGGGCGACGGCGACAGCGACAAGCTCCTCCTGCGCCGCCCCTGGGGAGGGAGACGCCGGAGGGGGAGGATGCGAGGGAGGGGGAGAAGGTCGACGGCGACAGCGACAGACACGGGACGACGACGCGCTGACCCTTTGGGAGGCTCGGTGGTGGTTGTGGCGGAGGGCGGGGTCGTCGTCGTCGTCGTCGTCGTCGTCGTCGTCGTCGTCGTCGTCGTCGTCGTCGTCGTCGTCTTCGTCGTCGTCGACGTCGTCGTCGTCCTCGTCGTCGAGGTCGTCGTCGTCCTCGTCGTCGTCGTCGTCCCCCCTCAGGCGGAGGGCATGGACGAAGAGGCCTCGTGGGTGCAGGCGAGGCCCCCGGCCGACGGGCCGGACCCCAAGAGAGGAGGGCCTGGGGGGGGAGAGAGGACCCAGCAGAGCCTCTCGGCGGCGAGCGAGGGGGGGAAGTTCACCACCCACCAAACCACCCCAACCCAGCCCGAAGGCCTCCATTTGCCCTCAATTTCCAGTGGGGGGGGGGAGGCGGGGATCATCGAGAAAACACATGTGGAACCCGTACCCCCCCCAACCCGAAATTTCGGGTCTTCGGGTTGGGTTGGGGTGGTCTGGTAGGTAGTCAGAAGTGAGAAGGAGAAGGCCGTCTCAGAAGGCTCGGAATTCCCCCAGCCTTCTGAGAAGCTTTCGAAGCCTTCCCCGAAGACAGACGAAGCTTCTCCTATGGAGGCGCGAGGGCTTCTGAGAGGTCCCGCCGCCATTTGAGAAGGCCTTCTCCCCCTCCCCCCCCCTCTCTCGCCGCCGACCAAGAGAAGAAGGCTTGGGGGGGCAGAGACGACCCGGCAGACCCTCGTCGAGCAGGGGATCGATTACGGAATTGATCTGCCCCAGACTTGAAATTTTCGGCGAATCTGTGGCAGCTTCGTAGGACAGCCGAAAGTCCTGCGAACTTGCCGTGGCTTCCAGGAAAGTGTTACTTCTGGGATAAATCAATGCGGTACTCCAGATTTCGTAATAAAAGGAGGGGGGTCTCATTTCGGGGGGGGGGGTCTTTTCCAAGCTATCTTGGAGCGCCTGGGGGGGTCTGGGGACGATGTTTTGGAGGGTTCTCCCGGGGGGGGGGGTCTAAAACTTCTCGTCTGGGAGGGTTGAGACCCCACACTCTATCCAGACACTTTTTCCTGGCAATAGCTCGATCAAGAAAAAAACAACGATTTGTCGTAACTGCAAGTCTGTCGTAACGGCGGTGCCGCCGCGCAGAACTACTGCGCGAATCCACGAAAGCGATGGCCACTCCAGGAAATCAAATCTTCTGAAATGATGTTTGGAATTATTTGTTCTGGTATTCGCTCTCGTGGACAGCCTAGGGGCCTGTGAGCGCTCGGCTAAAGAATTCAAGCCAAAATGACTACTTACGCATGCAACTGCTACAATGCCGATGATAATGACATTCCCTCCTACCTACCCTGGTCTCCAACCAGTCAATATCTTTGCTGCCACTTTCTAATCAATTGAGCGTGGCTCGGCCGCTTATTCCACCAGCTGATTCGCACTTGCACTGGGCAGTTAAAAACCCGCGGGCCTTGGAGCCCCCATGCATCGCACAGCCGATTCAATAAATTCGTAAGCGGCGCTCTCGCAAGCAAAGGGTGATATGGGAGCTTAAGCCACAAAGTGTTAGTCCTCCCGCTCCGACCCCGTCTGCTGCTACTGACGGGCAGGCTGGAAAAGGGAACTGTGAGGGGCACCCGAACTCCATGCTTACACATGTCGTCTATCCTAGCTCTTATGGCGGACTCGAACGCGGCTGCACTGGAAGATCGGCGCCTCAAACGGTCAATCTCGGCCATGGGCCAAGAATTATGCACGCTACGGGGATGCGCAGAAGTTTGGGACAGAGGTACTTTGATCTGCCCTGGCTTCGAAAATGGTTCCCAGGACAAACTCCCGGAACGATTCTGGAAGATTCGAACATCCAAAAAATCAATAACGCGAAACCCCATTTCAGCCATTTCTAGCTTATATGTTCCAGAACTACGCCTATGTAAAAAGCTCATCACACGGACCCAATCCCTGTTGGTCTTACACAGAAACAGGATATCATCACGAAACCTCCCATAAAACAACAGCCCGTGGTCCTCGAATCGGCTCATCAGCTCCACCTCCACCATCTCTGCGAAGTTTACGTCGGCGACGTCCCCCGCACAAGGGAACCCCATTCCAGCACCAGAGACAACCCTCCAGTGCACCAGAGACAACCCTCCAGTGCCTGTCTTCCAGCAGAGGCGTGTGCACGAACTGGTTAGATAGAAAACCGTAGAGATTGATTTCGTGGACTGCGCCGCCACTGCCCCAGACTGCTCTGGATACACGACGGCACATATCAGAATGATCCCCATTTAAATAAAAATCCTTTATGTCACACGAAGCCATAATACAACGACCATTTGTTTTGATATTCCGCAACGCTGTTAGAACGTCATCCGTGCTGTCGAAGACCCAAGGGTACGCCGACCTCACGTGCCGGCGAGTGCACGCACTACACACTTTCGATATATCTGCATACAAATGCCCAGCGCAACTATGCATAATTCGCAAGCTTACCTCCCCCGCCAGCCCGAAGGCCTCCATTTGCCCTCCATTTCCAGTGGGGGGGGGGTCGGGGAACGTCGAGGAAACACATGTGGAACCCGTACCCCCCCCAACACGAAATTTCGGGTCTTCGGGTTGGGTTGGGGTGGTCTGGTAGGTAGTCAGAAGTGAGAAGGAGAAGGCCGTCTCAGAAGGCTCGGAATTCCCCCGGCCTTCTGAGAAGCTTTCGAAGCCTTCCCCGAAGACAGACGAAGCTTCTCCTATGGAGGCGCGAGGGCTTCTGAGAGGTCCCGCCGCCATTTGAGAAGGCCTTCTCCCCCTCCCCCCCCCTCTCTCGCCGCCGACCAAGAGAAGAAGGCTTGGGGGGGCAGAGACGACCCGGCAGACCCTCGTCGAGCAGGGGATCGATTACGGAACTGATCTGCCCCGGACTTGAAATTTTCGGCGAATTTGTGGCAGCTTCGTAGGACAGCCGAAAGTCCTGCGAACTTGCCGTGGCTTCCAGGAAAGTGTTACTTCTGGGATAAATCAATGCGGTACTCCAGATTTCGTAATAAAAGGAGGGGGGTCTCATTTCGGGGGGGGTCTCTTCCAGGCTATCTTGGAGGGCCTGGTGGGGTCTGGGGACGATGTTTTGGAGGGTTCTCCCACGGGGGGGGGGTCTGAAATGGCTTGTCTTGGAGGGTCCAGACCCCCCCCCTTTTATTACGAGATCTGGAGTACCCGATCCCCTGCTCGACCTCTGGAGGGCAAGCACCCGGACCTCCCCCCTCAGCTCTGGGGCAGCGAAAGGGGGGGGGGGCTCCTCCTCCTCCTCCTCCTCCTGCTCCTGCTCCTCCTCCTCCTCCTCCTCCTCCTCCTCCTCCTCCTCAGGGGGGATGCATCGACCCCCAATCGCCCATTCATCCCCCACAGGGGCCCGACAGCCCCACCCGGCCCAGGAACCTTGGGATTCGTGATCGGGGGACTATCGCCGATCTATCGGCGATGCATCGCCGATTCCAGATCGATGTCCCCCCCCCATGCCAGTCCCCGCCTTTGCGATCTGGGCGCTGCATTTTGTTCACGTCCCTGTTTCGGGCCCAGTTTCAGGCGCCCGGGCAGCACATATTGATCCGGCTCGAGAAATTCGGCCGAAAGTTGGGGTCTACAGTCGGCGGCGAGTCCGGGGGGGGAAGTGAGAAGGGGCGGTCTCAGAGGCTCGGAGGCCCCCCAGAGAAGTTCTCTCTAAGTCTTGTCCGAAGGCACGGAACGCCCCCCCCAGAAGGTTCATCGTCGCGCCCTCTCCTTTCGCCTCCTCCTTCCCCTCTCCAAAAGATGCGCTGGAAAAAAAAATAGGAAGGCCCCCCCCAGAAGGTCGGAGGCCCTTGAGGAGCCCCGCCGCCCCCTGAGAGGGCCGTCTCCTTCTCATTTCCCCCCCCTCTCGCCCGCCGTGGTTTCGCGCTGCGGCATCTCGTGTCGTAGCGTCGGGTTCGGGGGTCCAGCGCCACGGATTCTGTCCAGCCGGCGGGTTCTCCTCGATCTCTCGGCCCCGGGGGCCATCATCGCCGGGCCCTCGGGGCCATCGGAGCAAGAACGGCTCTGCGACGACGAGCTGCACTCGGTGTCACCTCAACATGCTACTACTACTACTACTACTACTACTACTACTACTACTACTACTACTACTACTACTACTACTACTACTACTACTACTACTACTACTACTACTACTACTACTACTACTACTACTACTACTACTACTACTACTACTACTACTACTACTACTACTACTACTACTACTACTACTTTACTACTTATACTACTACTACTACCACTACTACTACTACTACACTACCTACTACCACTACCACTACCACTACCACTACCACTACCACTACCACTACCACTACCACTACCACTACCAGTACTACCTACTACTATTACTACTATTACTACTACTACTACTTACTACTACTACTACTACAACTACTACTACTACTATACTACTACTACTACTACTACTACTACTACTACTACTAACTACTCTACTACTGCGACAACAACAACGCTTACTACTACTACTACTACTACTACTACTACTACTACTACCACTACTACTACTACTACTACTACTACTACTACTGATACTACTATTACTACCACTGCTACCTACTACCTACTACCTACTACTACTACTACTACTACTACTGCTACTACTACTACTACGACTACTACTACTACTGCTACCACTACTACCCACTACCTACTACCTACTACCTAGTACCTAGTACCTACTACCTACTACCTACTACCTACTACCCAATACCTACTACCTACTACCTACCACCTACTACCTACTACTTACTACCTAGTACCTAGTACCTAGTACATTCTACCTACTACCTAATACTACTACCTACTACCTACTACCTACTACCTACCACCTACTACCTACCACCTACAACCTACTACCTATTACCTACTACCTGCTACCTACTACCTACTATCTACCACCTACCACCGACTACCTACTACCTACTACCTACTACCTACTACCTACTACCTACTACCTACTACTACTATTACTACTACTACCACTACTACTACTACTACTACTACTACTACTACTACTACTACTACGACTGCGACTACTACGACTACTACGACTCCTATTATTATTACCACTGCAACTACTACCTACTACCTACTACCTACTACCTATTTTACTACTGCTACTACTACTACTACTACTGCTGCTACTATTGCTGCTGCTACTGCTACTGCTACAA